GACAGCTAGCTGAATTGTCAATGAAATTGACATTCAAATATGTTACATGCATGAATAAGGAGATGATGACACTAGTAATGATAAAAATGCTAGGATAAATGCTATTCTAGATGAGGGTGGAGAATTTGGATGGTTACATTGAGCCAAATGCCAGGATTGGCTGTGGAAACCTTCAATCCATAGTCATCCATGTGATCCATTATGCTTCATTGACCAAATGGAAGGATTGAAAGTTCAATCTGGCAATTTTGAACATGTTTGGAATTCAGTTCTGTAGTAGGAGAAAGATATCAAAAGGTATATAGCTATATTGGGCAACAAACAAATACACTGTAAATTGTAAAACCACAAAACTGATGATTACAGCATCTATTTCATTCAATGTACAAAGAAGCCATATTTATCCTCTTTTCATTTTCATTTGTTTGTCATAGTTTGCTGAATAATCATTCTTTGCACAATAGGCCAAATCATCTATGGACTAAGGAGTTTTAGACATTAGAGAAGTTAGCACATGAACCTGGTGCTGAACATGGTATACAGAGCTCTTTGAGTCATCTGTAGGTTTTGGGCAGAGAACAACAGCTTTTTGGTGATATTTTTCTCGATATGTTGCAATGTTATGAAGGTAATAGTGAAAACTTGCTCTTGAGATAGCCCCAAAGGAAAATTCACAAGTCATGTCAGGAGATCTTCCAATAACACCAGACCTGTACACTGACTTGTAATGACTGTCCAAAAGGAATGATTATTATCATTCAGCCAACCATGACCCCGTGTAAATAAATACGAGGGGAAATATGACTTCATGATACAGTAAATGAAATGAATGCAGTCATTGCTAGTTTTGTGGTTTTACAATTTATTTGTTTGTTGCATTTTTTATACACTTGTGCATCCTGCATATTCTATCTTCCTTGAATAAGCTTATATCAGACATATGGTTAGCTTGTGACTGTTTTGTTATAATACTATATTTATTCTGATTAGCAAAATAGCATAATTGCTAATGTAAATGCTTCTCAATTACATCTGACTGTCTATCCAACTATCTATTTGTCCATCCTTGCATTAGCCAACAAATTTCAGAAGGCAATTCCATCCACACCAAAAACGGAATTCTAGAGGAGTGATAAATGTTGTACACCCCTTTCTTCCAAAGTAATATTTATATGACAAGATATCCATCATTATTATTATTCTATATCTCCATTATATGCGAGTTGCCATAAAGGGTTAGTGCAACCTCTATAAGATAATGAACAGGAAATAACTGTTTATGTTATGTGAACTTCCAGCAAGATACTTTGTGATGTGAAATAATGAGCATTAAATACATAATTTGAAAGTACTGATGCCAGAACATTGTGAGGTCGATCTATTTGTTTACAAGGTTAGCCAAAAAAGGTAACCCAAACAAATCTTAATAACTCAGTTTTCCAGAATGGCTTTAAGTCATGTTTGGCACAATTGAACTGTTCGATGTTCTTTCATTCCTTTAAGTGTCATTGGTTTATTTCTAATAGTTTTAAAGATTTTATGGCTTTTTTACAAAACATGCTCCAAATACCGAAACATACCAAAATCACCCAATATGAAACCCCAGAATTTTATCTTCGGGACTTTTTCAAAGATAATATATATTACATAAACAACCCTAGAAGCATCAGAGAGCCATTATACAAGATATCTGTGAGCATGTAGTCAGAAAACTTCACCCATTACGTTCAAGTTTGCCTCTAAAGACAAGACCAGCATTTTTAACATGTTTTCTAAAATGGCCATACAATCATGACCATTTGGAATAGACCAACGAAAAAGAACAATGAACAAGGTTCAATAACCCAGATGCGAGTAGAAATAATCTTGATTTACGTCATTAAAAATTCAAAATTCAGTCAAAGTAATATCATATTTGAAATCTACATGTAAAATTACATCTAGAAATGTGGTTTTGAAAAGTGTTTATCAACTTCGAAAAATTAATTTTCTTTGAAAATGTGACTTCTAGCTCGGGGAGATTCCCCATAGACCCCATGCTATAAAATCACAAAAAATGAAATATCTTTTCTTTTAGTGGACAGGTAATATTTTGCTTTACTGGACATATTTTCATTTGTATAAGTATCAGACACATAAGGATTATATGAAAATTGAGCCACTTAAATTGATAATATTCAAGTTTAAGGGAACTTTCTTACATACCTGCCATGTTAATTGACCCGAATCAGCCACCTGGTGGTGAAACTGGTAACTACCTACTCGCATTTGGGTAATTGTGCCAAATATGACTTAAAACCCATATTGGATGACTAAGTTATTAACATTTGTTTGGGTTACCTTTTTTGGCTCATCCTGTTTGATGAATTTCACAATTACAAGTCATAAAATTCTGCTTCCATTAATCAAAGTAAATGTATTGCTTATTTCTCTTATTTGTACAGATACTTCAGGTGCTTTGTACGATGTATTATAAAATCATGAAGTTTCTATATACCAGTCAATTAGTAATTGATGTTTCTATGGACACATGTTAACATAATGAGGATACAAAGAAGTCTTTGAGTATTCTAAAATGATTTCACAAACACCAATTTAGTCCTCATAGGTAACATACAAGTATTTAGAGGTTATGTCACTATCGTGGCATATATGCCCGAGGTCTCAGTGATATATGGCCCGATCTTGGGAGGGACATTGATCTCTGAGAACCGAGGGCATATGTGCCACGATAGTGACATAAACGATTTATAACATACCTATGATGATGTAGACTGGTCAGAGAGTACCGTTTTCTTAAAGAATTGACAAGCAAATGGTTTGAAAATGATTGAAATGAGTTTAGAAAAATTGCTCGCGCAGTTTTATCTTCGATTGATTGGTTATGACGTCAGCGCCTTGACCAATCAGAAAGTTAGCGGGCGCGGGCTTTTCAAAACTTATATTGGCCCGCTGTCTTGTGTACACTTTGCACTATACATCATCATAGGTATGTTATAATATTCAATATGTCACGTCTGTGTATTGACCAGACCATGCCTTATTTTGCTTCCTAATTATATTTCCTTGTTCATTATTTTTTGAATCTTAATATGATTGTCTCATGTTATCATTGAATGTTTGAAGGTTAGAAATGTGACATGTTATCAATGGAAAGTGACAGAATCAGCAGAATTCATGTTTATTTAAGGAAAAGAATAGCTAATGTAATCAATATATCGGCCTGTTTGAGTTGATTACACAATGATGTCTTGTAAAAGGGCAAGGTTTTATAGATTGCCTTATCGATTCAGCTAGGTATTTTTTATCACAATAGTTGCGTAATTCTATTACATGTATAAATAATATATACATACTGTACTCTTAAAAAAGGTGAATACAGAAAAAGTAAATATGTCAATGTAGTTCATTTGTTATTTTTATTCCCTAGTTATTTAGCATAAATCGCATTGTCATTTCTTTGAAATATATGTATCCATATACAAAATTAACATTTTAAAATTACATAGAATACTAAGGTAATTCAAATGTAAGAAAGATGTAATGAAAACAGTTATAATGTTGAGTTTTTTCACTAATGATACAAAAATGATTAGTTTTTTGCCATAACATTTGCAGATTGAAATAATATACTGCAAAAATGATCTTTTATGAAACAGTAGCAATTGAAATAATGTATAATATAAAAGGAGCAATTAATTTATGATCATAAGCTTGAAATATTATACACTACCGTAAAATAATACATTGGAAATTGTGGTTTATAATAATAGAAGTCGTACAGATACAGTAGAACCTGCTAAGTGGAACACCTCCGTAAGTGGAACACCTCGCAAGTGGAACACTTTTTTAAAGTCCTAAGTGGAACTCTTTTTGGCAGAACGGAGGGTGTTCCACTTACACATGTTCTACTGTATGTGCTTCTCTGTCTTATCGCTGTTAAGTCTTAAGTGTTGACAATGAATATACATATATAAGATACAGGGACCTGTCATTCTGTTCAGACAAGATAACATTCAGCACAAGTGTATATGAGAAATGGAGGACAAACGGACAACCTCTTTTGTAAAATATCATTCAAACATAAATTTGTTTCCTCTTTTGTTGAATAAATGAACCGCCTACCTATTTTTATAGCATATAATATAATTAAGCAATGTCAATGTCCTTATTTTTACTCGATACTTTAGGGTAATTTCACTCTTTCTTGCATAATTTTCATGTTAAAGCATGATCAACATGTTGCCTTATTGCAGGACAACAATACATTTTATCTCAAAGTGTGTTCAGAGTACAATGAAATGATCCATATGCGTGAACCACCTCCTAAGAATTGACTTAAGAAACCGATGGAAATTGGCATCTGTTTTGCTGCTAATTTAGTATAATGTTGCATTACCCAAGTAGGATACTTATAAGATCACAGGAACCACTTTTAAACGTGGAATGACGACATGGAAACTTTGTTTGAACACTAAGGAAAACATAAAAGAAGGTTTTGGATTAGAATCGATTTTCTAGCATAAGTTATCATTGTGAGTTTGAGGAGTGTTGGTATAACTCACTTAAACTACCTTCCTCGATAGATCTGTGTAGGATATTGTCGCTTAGAGTTGAGCATAGTCACTCTCAGACAGGAAAATAGAGAAATGATGGCATTATTGACAAAATAATGGATGTAAGAGGAACTGATGAACTTAAATGAACATTTGCTCGATAATATTGTCTAATATTCAACTGTCTTGCGTAAATCATGCAATTTCATTGATTTCAGGTCAAAGGTATATACATAATCTATATCTGCTTTTCCAGCAGATGGGATCAAAGCTTTTATAGCATACTCTCTCACCTTAACTCTTATCTAAACAATGGAATGTTTTGACGCAATTTGAATTGTCAGATAGATACAATAGATTGACTTGTTCATGTTTCTTGTTATTATATTCTGTTTGGTTCTCCATTGGTCAATATTTCAAAGATCATTAGATGAAACTTGATCCTGGACCTGAATCATAAGAACGTTAACATGGATGTCGATATAGATTTGTTGAAAAGTATATCTCAGCCAGGGGCAGAAAGACACCCAATAGCTGCAGTACATAAAAGACATATTGATGAAAACATGAACTCTGGTCTAAAAAAAGATCATCATGCTATAAATGATACAAACGATGTTATAAATGAAAACAAGCCTAAGGACTCTATTGTTTCTTTACCTGAGCATGACGTTTTTAGAACCCCCACTAAAGCTAATGTTACTTTGAGTGATTCTCCTGTCAATGAACCTGACACATCTGCAGCCCCTGGTGAAAAACTCCAAAGTAATGATAGTTATAAAGAAAATCATGGGGCTGACATACATGATCCTCTTCACTTAATGTTAGGCACAATTGAACCTGAATTATCTGAGGTTATGAGTCCAATGTCTGAAAGGACCCTCAAACAAATGGTAGATATGAACACAAAACTAGAGAAGCCATCAGAACCAGAATCAGTTAAATACACTCTAAAAATAGGCCCTGATGGCAAGTTAGGGTTGTTAAGTAGTCGGAGTGCTCCAGTATTAGACCCTCTAAAGACTTATAAAAGTAAACTTGGTGTCAGTGCGGTTAGCAGCTTTCCAAGCTTGAGAGGTGATCATGCAGAATTTAGAATCTTGCTTGAACTAGTGTAAAACAATGATATGCCCAAAATGCATGATATGTTTAAAACATAGACACTATCATTATTATTAATATTTTATAAATTGATTGAACCCTGAAGTACACATAATACAATAATACAGAAAACTCATTATTGATGTTTTTTATGTTTTTCAGAAGTCGGAGGTAATGAAAGTAATGGAGGTAAAGATATTGAGAAGAAGAAACGACATGTCACTCAACCAAAAGGCACCATTCCTTACGATGTGAGTACATAGTCTTGCATTAAGTCTCTGAAATCCCCTCCCCTTTCATCTGAATGTGAATTCTGTATAAATAAAATAAAATTATTTTCCACTTCCGAGTTAAATATCCCTAGTTATATCGGGTAACTTTATGCAACAATGCCACATTAAAATGATGGATGGTTAAATTGACTAATCTAACCGCATAGAGGATGGGGAGGCAATCTTGTTCATGTAGGTAATTATCCGACAATGCAGCCATTTGTCTGACTATTAGCTACATGGGCGAAATTGCCTCCCTTTTCTCTATGTGTAGACATCTTCAGATCTTGGGCAATATCGATCACCATTATAACAAATAAAATTAATTGCACTTAGATACTATGTGCATGTCATGTTTTTATCTTGTTATGTCACCACAAGAAGTGGCAACATATTGTTAGTCTCCAACTTTTTTGTGGACGGTGGTCGGTGGTTTGCGTTCCATGGTCACCAGTCAGTGTCTGTAATAAATGGCAGGTGATGACATTTTGCATGTAAATGCCTAGTCTTTAAATGTCATGGTATACTCATTTGTTGCATGATGTAATAACATACAGGTCAGAATGAGATCAATAGTATTGGCACCTGCCTGGATGTAAGGTTCTCCTTAATTACAGTGTTAATGTTACCAGACACAGACTGTAATTCTTTGAATATACGATCGATTATATCATTTATATATCACATGTTTGCCATTTAATGATTGGACAAACTTGGGTGACATGATGTCATGACAGATCTGGTTGTATTTACAGACTTTATGCCCATACTCATTTTTCTTCTAATCTGGGCTATATCTAATCACAAACACTACATTTTCTTAATATGTCTAGCTGTTATTCTTTTCAATGTTCAAACTTCTGTAAAAACCTACATGCATTTGTACTACTACAACCTATTTGAAGTATAGACCCTCCTGTAATATTCCAACTACATGTCTTATGTAAAATAATGACCCTTTGTACCTTGATCCATCAAAGTATTCATATGATCTTAAGGAATACACTGTATACCTGTTTTTCAGGTGACGACATCCGACACATTAGAGGGCATAGCTGCAAGATTTGACACCACACCTACAAATCTGATCAAACTTAACAAGTTACATCTACGAATGGTCTTCCCAGGACAGGTAAGTACATACAATGTATTTCCCTCAATTTCTTTGGCAGCACTAACTCCCTATTAGGCATTGGTAAAATCTGTGCATGTTTGGTGAGTTGAACGAAAGTCATCAGATATTTCAACCCAATGTAATTTGAGATTCGAATGCAAACACAAACTATCTTTAACATGCCATCCAATGGGAAGTCAGACTAGTGTGTGTGTGTTAACACAATGTTTCTCTATATTGCAGACAATTTATATACCAGATAAGGATTATGTTCCCAGTGATCCTCCTACACCTGATGAGCCAAACAAATCTAGTCCAACAAATAACAAGGTGAGCAATTATGTTCTGTTCACATGTCTGTTAAGAGACATGTCAATACATTGATGTATACAAACACAATTATTTATGGGGTGGAGGTTTAATGTCCAGTCATGCTTTGCTAGAGGTCATAATTATTTGAAAGAGCAATGATGAAACAAAACATAAATATGTTTTTTGGAAGGGAGGTTGTCAATCTAAGATATAATTATATGAGTTGTGGTACAACATGAAAAAATATTGACATGCTCCCTAAGTAGCTTAGGAATGTGAGTCGACCTTCTGGTTTAAACCCAATGTTCCTTTGTTTGAATTTTTTTCTCTTGGTTAGTTTTGCCAAGTTTGGTGAATTATTCACATTAAGTAAAAGACATTGGAAATATTCATTCTTCATACCAATGCATGTTTTTTTTTGATCTAGTGTGCTGATACATATTCCTGGTTTCCTAAAATCTGCAATAGATGTTTCGAAATACATGTATAACAATATTATATATCTTATACATAAAACATTATTTTAGCTTAAAAGTCCACCTCCGTTAAAGAGTCCGGGTCATGCTGAGCGAGTCTTCACTGACAGTATTCCTGAGCCAGCAGCCCCCAAACCACTCAGTGAAGACGATGCCAAGAAACTAGACCAGGAGTGCTATGCACGTTTCATCAAAATCAATGTTAAACATATCACAGATGGGCAGGTATATAGAATTACTAAATAAGAAAGTGTACACCCTTAGAAGTCTAGCTGCTTGTTATATTATAATGTTCATAGAGATTATCCTATATGAGGTTCAGGATATTGGGATAATCCTGAAGTTAATATAACTTATCTGCCTGAGGACCTGAGGTATATCATGAACTGGCTATAAGATGACATGTTAATCATATACTGGTATATGTTCTTTGAACATACATTACCAAAATTGATAACATTTTCTTGGGGCATCTGAAGTTTAAATAAACATATATATATATTTTTAATTATTCACGACTTTTTGTTTGTCAAGCCATCATATAGTAGTACTTGAATTAAAAAAATGAAACATATGAAGTAGCCATAGAAATACTCGAATATTTTCAGGGAGTGGTGAATGGAGTGTTACTAGTTACCCCAAATGCTGTAATGTTTGATCCCAATGTGTCTGACCCCCTAGTCATAGAGAGTGGGGCTGATGCGTATGGGATGATAGCCCCAATGGAGACTATTATTAGTGCAGCAATGTACCATGATATAGCTGCTATGAGGATTCGAAGTGCAAAAGATCAGTAAGTTTACAATATGAGTCTATCAGCAGTCTCTAAATTGACTGAAATGACCCATTTTACCATATCTCGATGCAACCAACATTAAGTAAAAATTAATTATTATAACTAAAAAATATGAGGTGTAATATTAATAAACTATATTATTGGTTAATTTCTCTTTGTAATAAACCAGTTGAAAATTTCATGAAGAATGCTAAAAATAATTGAGTACAATACAAAAAATATTTTTTCGAAGACACAATTTTTAAAATGTGTGATGTTTTTTCGTCACATGATCCAATCAGATCACTAGAAATTTAACCATTGAATGATATTCTATTATATCTTGCATACATTGCCTTCTAATGATCTTCAGAGGTGAGGTTAGGAAGAAATCTGAGGTGTACCATGCAAAGGACTGTCCGTTATATACTTCCAAAGAAAGTAGCAATGACAAAAATACTGCCAGTGAAAAAGGAAATAATAAAGAGGAAGAAACACAAGAAAAATCAGGTATTTTGAACAAAGTTGATGCATTGATGCATTTGGATCTATTATATTTTGTTGCTTACACTCCCCTCCAAAGTATGGCAATCAGAAGCCCCTTTTAACCATATGTTAAAGTCTGTAGTTAAGTTTGATCCCTTGAATATTCACTTACAGGCTTCAACACACTGTCCAATGGTGTGGTCCAGTTAATAACTTCATGGAGGGGGGGGTTGTGTATCAGCATTATATTATTCCTTGGCATGGTGTAAAAATTGTCTTTCTGTATATTGTTTGTGTCTACTCATCATTTTATTTTTTTGTTTAATAGTATTCTTATTTCTATTTTTTGAAATTTCCATTTGAATATAATTTAAAATTGAGTTGAATTGTATCGAATATACAAATATTTATATGTTTATTCCTTTTTTGATTCAGATTCTTATTAAGAATGTTTTCCTCTGTTGTATCATGTTGTTCATTAAATGATTTTAGCTAGCGCTAATGCCATCATTTGTATGTAATATAGGTATAGCTGTCCGCAAATCTTCATAAATAGAAGCCTTCATTAGATTATTCAATTTTCCAGCAATTTGCCACTTTCCTATGATAAGTAACATAAAATTAAATCACAATAATCAATTTATAGCTAACCACTATTTATGGCCTTGATCACTTCAATAGTTAAGAGACATTTCCCATTACAGAGATGGGTGATTTTTAGGTAGGCTGAGTAGAATGTGGAATCAGTCTCATTACTTGGAGCTTCATATCAAACAGAGTACTACAAATCATGTGAAAGTGGAACTCCCTTGGAACCACAAAGAATGTTCTCTAAGGATGGTTCAATTACATGAAGTCACTTTGTTTGTGTCACAGGATTTTAAAAATCTGTTCCACTTGTGAGGCGTTTCACTTTCAAAGGTGTTCCACTTGGCAGTTTTTTTATATAATAGTAATATCATGTGAGGTGTTCCACTAACAGAAGTGTTCCACTTGACTTTTTACCACAGTACTAATATCATGCACATGCAAATTCACCCTGCAGCCCCCTCATTGGTGGTAAACACAGGTGTTTGAAATCTTTGAAATCAAACATGAATTACTCTAAAAATATATGAAATAAGTGTATTTATGAGAGAATCAGGTATATTTTCTTCACAGGTAGTCAGTCAACTTTGCAGGTTGTTGTCTTGCAATTAGTATTGCTTTGTGCCTACCTTACCCGAACTTTCCAGGGGAGTTCAACTCCAAGTCAATTGGATGAGTGCATTACATAATTCCTTAACTATAATATAAGTACATGTAATATTTTTATTATGTCATATTATAGTCTAGTATGCTTCAACTTACAATTATTGATGTTAAGTTATCAAGTTGCTAATGAACATATTCAGAAACTTGATCACTTCACAACATATTATTGTCAGCTGTATAGCAGATTGCCTTTAAAAATACAAACATTAGTGGTCTAGTTTCAAATAATTAATTGGTAGACCAATGAATGTCTGGTGATTTGGAGACAACTTAATTGACACACCATGTTCATATGTATGAACATACTGAAAGCCAGGACTGAATGGATTTAGTATAAAGAATAAGTACTTTCTCGCTTCTTAACATAAGTTTTATTACAGATATTGTGTAATATGTACAATACATGAGAGAAGATAATAACAGTTATAAATTTCATAGGAAAAAATAAAGGTGATGGTGAATTGGCATGTTATATGTAATGAGGGTGTTTCTTTGGTGTGAGTTAGTGACCATTTTCTTGTTGTAGCCGCTTGTCTTACTCTGTTGATTGGGCGAAGATGGGTAGTAGCTTAGTTCCCCACCTTGACCTAATTGATGATTGATTGATTGATCGGTTGATTTATTGATTGGTTGATTGACACTACCATGCAGCTGCTTACTTGCTTACCCAAAATTGAAATTATCCTATTTGCAAATACAATTATTTATTACTCCCAACCCTTCCTATCAATTTGTTCTAGTGATTCTAGCTTAATGGTGATGGTGTTATGTTTGACCTTGACATTGATTTTTTGCAGACGGCAATAAGGAGCAGACGGATGAACCACCAAGGGAGAAAAGCTGTTCATGTGGTGCAAGTGACCCAGCAGCAAATATAGACTTGACCAATCGTAAATCAGATTCACATTCAGATTCGAATACCCTCAATGATGAAAAGGGCAACTTGGAGGAAAGTGCAGTAAATGAAACAAAAGTTGACTCTGAACCAACAATTGGTGCTAATGAAAAGAAAGGTGAGAGTGCAAATGAAAATGCAAATACCAACGAGGTCATTCCACAAAACAATTCAGTTTCGGCAACTCAAGTGAATAGTGCCGAACACTTCCATTTTGGCAATATGGAGGAGTCCATTCCTGTTAATGTAGGGGGCGAAGGTTGTGACATAAACCAAGGCAATGTGCCATCACAATCAGGGATTGAAGAAAATGGCAATACAGAGAGATCTCCTGGAATGGATGGAGGAATCACAACAGGTGTATCACCTCCAAAACAACTTTTGAAATCTATAGGTTCCTCGGTGGGAACATTAGGGAACTCAGTGGCATCAGTGGCATCATCGATCGGCTCACTAGCGAGCACAACGCCACTAACAAACCTTGTTGATTTTTCCAGTGGGTTATTTAGCAAACAGGAAGGAGATGCAGGTAAGGTCAAGGACATTTCAGATGTGACCCCAGTCACCCCAGTGTCTAACGATGGGCAGCCCAAAAACTCTATATGGTACATAGAACCAAAACTAGACGATGCATCTGGGCAAGCCTTGGAAGTAACAGAGAGTGATATATTACTGGACTCAACTACAGATTCATTCTCCAGCTCCAAGGGCACTGTTACTTGGGTCACAGAAGCAAATTCCAAGACTCTATTAGAACGTCCACCTAGCATAGAAGTAGAGAGTGTTGTGACAGTGGATGACAAACCTGAATTATTTCGCACGCTCAGCGGTAGGTCCCATAGCAGCTGCATATTTAGTTGGTTTCACTCAAGTATAATAAGCTCATAAGAGGGTGAAGGTGCCTGGCTGGTAGATTCAACATGACTGCATCAGTCAATTTGAAATATCACCATTCAACGCATATGTTATATCAGTGCAACCCTCACGTAAACGTGGAAAAATGAAATTTTACTTGAGTGACACCTTTTATTCCCTCACATAAAGCACAACCCTCTATTCTTTAGCTATTGAAATAAGCAGAATGTGCACAAACAAGAAATGGCACAATCCCCCTACATTCTAAGGTAATGACTGCTCCAGCCAAACTCCTCTAAATTGTAATGTATTGTAAAGTACAGTACATGTACATAAATGAATTCCACTGCAATTAAGTTTAGACCTATATCAATGTCCATAGTATTATATTACAGAGAAAATCTAATGAATTAAAATCACCTATACTTCTTGTACTTCTTACATTCAAATGAATAATGTAACACAATCATTTAAGATTTGAGTTTAAATGTACAACTCTATTATGAGTAAGATGTCAATTCCATTTTTCATGACAACTTTATATCAACATTATTATTAGATTGATTCTTGGGTCTATGATGTCTATATCATTGATTAATTAAAAGAATATCTAGTATACTATTGTTAGCTCATTAAATTAACAGTAGAAATTTGACTTTATATTAAAGTGTTGAAATTGACTATTTTGCATTAACATTTTAACAAGGTTTCTGCTATTCATTCACTCGCATGGAATTGTAAACTGTCACTTTCGCAAATCATTTGCCTCATCTTGCTTCAAATGGGTCTGTTTACATCAGCTATTGCATGTTCTAACACAAGAATGAGGGAAGAGGTATTTACCATTCCAGGGTGCTTTAAAATCATATTGCTGTAAAATCAGGGTTGTCATGATCAGGCAACTTGAGGAAAACCAGAATCCTTTCTTGTGACAATTTTAAAAATAGGAAATCTTAGAGTGGCTAAAATTCTCAGGGAATTCTTGAATTCAGAGAGTTTTAAGTGAATGAAATTTTGAAATTAAAAGTTGGACAACTCATTTAAAAAATAAATGAAATAAGAAAAACTGTTGCCATGAATAATAGGCTCTTAACAAATTGACATTGAAGGACTGCATAATTCTTAAATATTTTGAAATTTTTTATTGATACTTAAATCTGATAATACTGGGAATTTTGATTTGAAAATATTGTGACAACCCTATACTAGATGTACCATATGAAATGTAACTTTGTGAGACACTGTCAATTGTACATTGTGACTTGGATTTGTTAAGTATAGAAAATCATGAACTACAGAAAAGAGTATAGAAACTAAATTGAAGATATCCAAAATGTGTCATGACAGTACACCCCCAAAATGCAATCTGATTTTCGACGCCGTTTCGGTGCCAAATTTCGGTGCCGTCTCGGCACCAAATGGACTGACTAGTCCGGTAGCAAATTTTGGTGTTGAAAGGTTTGGTGCCGGAACGGTGTCGAAACGGTGCCGGAACGGTGCCGAATTTGTTCGATGCCGAAACGGCGTCGAATTATATTGGCTGTGTAGTGGGATAAAGCTGCCATAATCATATGATTATCAACTCAACTTATAATATTTCAATAATCTAAAATGATTATCAATAGTTTTGAAATATAAAATAATGCTAATGTTTTATATTTTTGCGACCGCAGTACTAGATTTAATAGAAGAAGTGCAAAATAGTCAAAATGTAGATGATGAAATTGAGTATATTGGTTAGTATATGCACCCCCTAATATTAAATACTATGTAGTGTAGGTATACTGTCACTGTGTGTTCATTTAATAATTAGAATTGTATAGGATACTAGTGTATTATTTTAAACAGGGTGTCCCAAAAGTCATATGTGTTTAAACTGAATGTGAGTTACATCTTTTTGGACATCCTATAGTGTATATGCTGTATGCAATATTTTTACCTATTTTGGATTATGAATCAATACAATATTGATGTTTGAATATTATATATACTGTATATACATTGATTCTACCAAAATGGTACATTTTCTCAAATCATAATGATAGCATACATGTAGTTGTATGATACACATATACAGGGTGTTTCATGAATTAGCACCTCCCATCCTCAAAGCCATGAACTCTTGTGAGGTATGGAGATGTATATTATTTTATTATTTATGCAACACCCTGTATGTATCAAGTTTGAACCTTGTCTTATTGTGCAATGCTATCTCATAGCTATTTATTGCACCTTGTGTTGTGCTCTCTTTAAAGTATTCTCATTTTTTCACTCATCCTTTGTACATGTATACTGTATAGTATGTGCTGAGCATGTCTCATAATCACCATTGCATTGCTTTTTACAGAAATCACCAAATTGTTGATCAAGTCTGCATTTACTAAAGCTGTATTTAAATGTTACAATATACTTTGAACATCATTCTTTTCACTCTGTTTTCTTCCTAACCTTGATGATTATTTATAATCTAAACCTTCACACACTTTCAACTTCAATTTACTCAGTAACTATGTCCATCCTAGATCATTATTCCTCAATTGTTGTTTATATATTCACTGCCTACTTTTAGATGTTTCACACTTTTTCCAGTGTTTTTACTGGTTAACATTCACTAATATTGCTTTTTCATATTCTTCTCATTAACTGATGATAATTCATATTAAATTCTGTGTTAATTTGTGAAGTCATAGTTAATAATAACAATTATTGAACATATTTTTTCCCATTTGAGGATACAATTTTTCACCACTAGCAGTTCAAAGATAGCATTTAACTAATGTACTTGCAATTGGAGAGTTTCACCACATTAACATATTCTATTTATGCATATTTCCAGCAGATGTCCCCACGAAAGACATTCAGCAATTTCTTGGTTTACATTGATTAAGTATACTACCCTAAAAAAGTTAAGGACCACTTTACTTTGTGTACAAGTAAAAGTGGTCTTTAACTTTTGTTTTTTGAGTAGTAAATGCGAGCCATTTCTTGGGAATTTGCACTCCATCAGTAGAGTTACATCCTAACTACATTTTAATTGTGAAGTTTTCAATGTTATCTTTCAGAGTTGGTGCCAAAGCCTGCCCCAGTTTCTGAGAATCCTCCTCTCTATCTGAGTCTACGTGTGGGCAAACCTATCAACAAACGAGTGTCAAAAACCTGCCCTATCGAATCATATGGCAAGAAAAATAAGCCCGAATATTGGTTTTCTATTCCACGTGATAGGTATGTATTCAATTTGGGCCTCAAAATGGGGCATATGTGAGTTTCATTTTTTGAATAAATTGGTCTATATGGAAAATGGGCCTCAAGACACTTGTTGCAGAATAACGCACCAGTCTTGTTAATTTTGGAACACCCTGTATTTGGGAAATGGGCCTCATTTTTTAAAAAGGGCCCTAATGGGAAGGGCTTCTGATTTGGCATCTGTGTAAAAGCACCTGGAGAGAACCCTCTGTAGTCCATACACATTGGATTAATAGCTACAGTTAACCACACTTATGATACACTGTTGTTTTTAGAGTGGACCATCTCTATGCATTCTTTGTCCAGTGGTCTCCAAACATTTATGGCAGTGAGGAAGAAATTAATCCTGAAGCTCGGGGCTTTGTTGTTTTTGACTCTGATGCTGAGGATCTCAATTTAGTAGATGATTATTTTGAAGGAGATATTAAAGTGTCCAAGGATTGGGAGGTATGTTTAATTTAAAGACCATTATAGTTTTCATAATTCATTATAAAAGTCCATTCAATCTGCCAGTGCCAGTTTGTTGTAATATGGTGTTTTAACATTGCCCTAGTTGCGTTACGGAGGAGACTGCTCAGAACTACTTCATATTCTTGATATTATGAGAGATGTTCTGCTTTTATATCTACTCTTGTTTCTTCTCATCTGAATTCTTACTCAATTGAATTCTTTTTCGAAAAAATGGGCTGATTTTTGGAACCTTGCTTTGGAAAGTCAAAAAAATAAAAAAGTATCTGGTTGGTCTTCATAGTGTGATAGTACTACTTAATCACAGTTTATAATATTGAGGTGAGTGATAAAGTCAAATTCTTCTAATTGGTCAATCAGTTTTTTTTATTAATATTAATATAGTTTGGTTGAAATTTGCATTTACAAAATGATCTGACCTGAAACTGCTCTTGTCATATTTCTGACCTCTATTTACTTGAACTCTGATCTATATAGGGGTCACACAGATGCTGGCAGGTAATATTCAACATGTGTACTGAACCAGCACATGTACTGAACCAGCACATGTTCTGAATTAGCACATTTACTGAACCAGCACATGTACTGAACCAGCACATGTTCTGAATTAGCACATTTACTGAACCAGCACATGTACTGAACCAGTGCATGTAATGAATCGGCATATGTACTGAACCAGCACATGTAGCATGTACTGAATCAGCACATTTACTGAATTGGCACATTTACTGAACTGCACATGTACTTATCTGCATATCAAAAAAAAATTATTAAATGATAATGGTAATACTGATATACTATTCATTAATTTGATGGCTCTCTAAGTTTTGTTTTTATTATCCCATTGAACGAAGTTCGGAGGGATATAGGGAATGCCTCCGTCCGTCCGTCTGTCTGTCCGTCCGTCGGTCCGTCCGTACGTCCGGGCAATAACTCAAATACCGTTGGCCCGATTTTGTTCATATTTTGTACACATATACCCTATGGGGGTAGAAGTTCTGCTCGAAAGCTGATTTTCAAAATGGCCGCTCATTTCAAAATGGCGGCCATTTTAGCGCCGAATTTACAGTAATTTAGGTGCAATATGTAAAACTGTAATAGCAATATGTTTTAGATGTAAAAAAATTATATAGGACATTAATAAAGCTAGAAATGTAGATATTAAAGAAGCACATGGCAGCCATCTTGAAAATTGGCGGCCATGTAGTGGAGCGATTTTGTTCATATTTGGTATGTGAATACTATAAACATTGCACACTGTCTAAAGGCACTTTTGGTAGAAGGCGGCCATTTTGAAAAATGGCCACCATTTTAACGTATTTTACTATAACTCGAAAAGTAGTGGAGCGATTTAGTTCATATTTGGTATGTGAATACTATAACCATGACACTCTGTCCTATGACACTTTTGGAAGAAGGCGGCCATTTTGAAAAATGACGGCCATTTTAACGTATTTTACTATAACTCGAAAAGTAGTGGAGCGATTTTGTTCATATTTGGTATGTGAATACTGTAAGCATGGCACACTGTCTAATGACACTTTTGGTTGAAGGCGGTCATTTTTCAAAATGGTTGCCATTTTAACGTATTTTACTATAACTCGAAAAGTAGTGGAGGGATTTTGTTTATATTTGGTATGTAAATACTATAAGCACGGCACACTGTCTTATGGCACTTTTGGTAGAAGGTGGCCATTTTGAAAAATGGCTGCCATTTTAATGTTTTTTACTATAACTTGAAAAGTAGTGGAGCGATTTTGTTCATATTTGGTATATGAATACTATAAGCATGGCACATGGTCTAATGACACTTTTTGTAGAAGGCGGCCATTTTGAAAAATGGCTGCCATTTTTGCTATATACTTTGTAAAAATGCCATCCATGGCTGTTCGATGGGATTCGCTACGCTTTGGCGTTGCCGTTGTTCTGGTTTCTTTTTCTGCACAGTTTCATAGCTGGTACTTATTAAATCATTTTAAAGCATTGATTTTCTTAATGGAAGGTTGCACATTTTTATGTCACCACCACAAGTGGTAACATATTGTTATTGTCTCTAACTTTTTGTGGATGATGGTTGGTGTTCGATGGGTGGCATTCGGTCTGTAACAATTTGTAGGTGATGACATATTGCATGTTAATGCCTTGTCATGTCAAGTGGTGGTTTTAGTAAATAAATGTACTGGGCTGCTGAAATAGAAATATGATAGTTGAAATCAAAAACCAACATTTTGTTTATACAGTAAAACTTGTCTAACGTGATTAATACTGAAACCCACAATGTTGAGTGCGTTCAGATGAAAAGGTTCTGATGATATGGGAATCAATGGGAAAAGTATTCACATTTAGGTTCAGTGTTCACATAGACATGCTTCACTGTAGTTATTGATTGTCATTATTAATTCTCCATTATGAAAATTGAGTCAGAAACAAAAGAAGCGCTTATGTATTATTTAACAGTGTGATCACAAAGTTCCATAGGGTACCCTGCATATGGATCGGTCTTTATTATAGTCAGTCACCCTGTATTGATTCTGACCTGTATTTACTTTAGATTGTCAAAGTTGAGGAAGCCAGGAGAAGACTGGAGTCATTTGAGCTTGGAGATCTCCCTCTACCTGAGTTGATTGGCACAACTACATTACTTGATGATGATAAAATAAGCAAGGTAAACAACATATCCTCATACCTTAAGTGTATTCATATTGATTAGTTGCTTATTTAGCAAAGTGCAATTACATTGTACAGTGTTTTATTCTGTATTTAAGCTTCCCTTTAAAAAGTGAGATCTTGAGATCGTGAGAAGTTATTAATCTAGAATTGGTATAAAATCACAAAAAATTGACAGGACCTATGTAGAATTTAAAAGATCTCTATTTCCTAATTGTTTCAGTTGTGTAAGCATCTGCCTCCACGTACAGAAGGGTACCCCTGGGTACAGATCTACAGCACAGACCATCATGGCTTTTCACTGAACACTCTCTATAGACACATGCAGGGCTATGACACACCTGTCTTAATAGTTGTCAAAGACACTGGCAACAATGTAGGTGTCTTTTAGGGTTTAATTATGAAGTGTTTGTCCCATTTTCAACTGGATGCAAAATTTTCAGTGTACATATTCTGACTATTAAAGAAATGACCAATTTTGAGTAGAAATGCCTATTTTCATGTTATTTGTGTGTCATTCGACATTGAGTTCTTGTCAAGACTAGGGCTCTACAAGAGTGGGCTCCACCAACAATCACAATAAATCTCTTTGGAATATATTTTCCTGTAATAAATTAGTTTGATTGGATTCTTGTATTTCAATGTAATTAAAAATGAGTAAATATCTTTCTCTCTTCACTCTTGTAGATATTTGGTGCAATGACCTCATGTCCTCTGAAAGTGAGTGAGCATTTCTATGGAACAGGGGAATCCTTTCTCTATACATTCACCCCAGAGTTCAAGGTTAGTTTTTTCAAAGCTTTATTTTTCACGTTGATTTTTCATGACAACTTGTATACTACAAATAATAATTCATGATTTTTTATAACTTCCTAGATTCAATTTTATAAGGTAAATTAACAGGAATGGTTTCTATTATAGAATTACAAGTACAACCATATTCACCCACACACACTTGACATTAAAATTCATGTATGTTTTATACATGCATTATATTGCAGGTTTACACCTGGACAGGTGACAATACTTACTTCAACAAAGGCAATCTACAGAGTTTAGTGATAGGAGCAGGAGAGTAAGTCATGCTCATAAGCATCTACAGTCTAGCATACAGCCTTAATAAACACAGCCAGTTGGGTGATCAGCTCATTTAAATAATGGAGAATATGGGCCCTTTTCTTTTAGACTGAGTACTATATTGTGCCTGTTTTATATATGGAAATTAATAGAACTAAAGAGTTATCACTCATTGAAAATTGTTCTTTTATTGGTTAATGACATTTCTATAATTGTGTTAAATTGTGATAGAGTATGATATAATTTATAATTATTATAATATAATTGTATTAATTAGTATTATCATAAAGTCTCATAAGTTGCATTTACGTGACAATTTTGCGACAGTGTCTTTTAAGACATCACAAAAGAATCTTACGTGTAAGTGAACAGATATCAATTTTTATGGTTTTCATTAAAACGTATCAAGAAGTCCCTTCCATGTTTAACCAGTATAATAATTCTTTTTCAGTGGTAGTTTTGGACTTTGGTTAGATGGAGACATATATCATGGCAGGACTCAGCATTGTGACACTTATGACAATGAACCTCTTACAACACAAGAGGACTTCATTGTCAAAGGAATAGAAGTGTGGGGGTTTGAGTAATCAACGAACCAGTAGCCAGGACAAATCCATGCTGGACTTTGGAATATATAATAATGGGAGTTTTTATGGGTAGTACCAAGGGGTGCTCTTGAGCGAATGAGACACTAAAAGACATACTGTCTGCGAAGCTCTATAGAGATATACCATATCAGGAGGAGCTACTCTAAAGCTGGAGTCAAAGAGATTATGAGAAGGATTCTAAATGGATTATCATTGCTGGATTAACCTTGACTCAAAGATGTAGGAGGATTTTTTGTCAAAATTGAATAGTCAAAGTCCATTAAGCAGGATGTATACAGTAATACATGTTAAATTGAATATTTTTTAGATCTGATCTTATTCAGTTGAAAAATCAATTTTCTGAGGATCAGTTTTCATGCATACTGACTGTTTTCATTTTGAAAATTATCAACAACCATTTTGCAGATGGGGTTCAGTTTTACAAGTCTTACTGTATAATAGCAATTTATGATAAAGATAATGTCAGGGCTGAATACAAGTGTCAGTGATGTCAGGTATGAACTATAATATGACTACTACATTGCACTAAAATGAGTTATTTTTCAAACTCAACAATGTAGTATGATATGACAATAGATATTTGGAGAGCAATACTGCTATTTTGCTTTACATTGCTTGTGTACAACGGACACATTATGACAAGCATGGCATGAAAGAAGCATTAAACAGAGCTTATGTTAATACCCAACATTATATGAGATGTTATGGAAGTGATATCTTGGAAGGGTTTTCCCTTGAATTAAAAGTATATTGCCATAGTTTAGATTGTCAAATGAATGAGTGGGAGCTGCTAGGCATAATATAAACAGTAAGCCATATATAACTTCATTCTTCAGATTTTGGACTGTACTTGGCTTGGACTGAAAAATGTTCAAGCTGTTTACAATACAGGTTCTAAGGTATATAACAGCTAACGGCTTAGCATTACACTCTGACTTATATAGAAATCGCAAGCAAATTGAAATTGTGAAGCAAGTGACCAAAGTTGGATTTAATGCATGTAATTAGTCAATGCATGGAATTAGCCAATACATGGGAGTAGTTTAATGTAGTCTGAGACACAATTCTCAAATAGGTACTACAGGTTTAAGATTCATATCGGAGAGGCTCAGGTTGTTTTCTAGACGATTTTTTATGACATTTCTAGCCTAGTTAGATGACATTGATGGCTCTCATATCAAGAAAGCTAATGTGATTGTGATTATTGGATTTTTCACAGAAATGCATGTTTTTCTCAGAAATATTTTAACACTTTTGATCTGTGAACTATTATACTCATTAAAAAGCTTGTTGTTAAGAGATTTTGGTCAGTCATTCAATTTTTTTTTGAGAAAAACATGGCATTTTTGAGTTGTTTTTGAAATAAACATGTTTAATGCAAATCTTGTTAATAGATACGACTTTGTTGTGAGTATCTATTTAAGGGCTGATCAGGTGAACTTTGCAGATGACCTTTTATGTTAAAACTTTCAAAAAACACCCCTGTGACATGAATAAATAAAAAATAAAACAAAACTTATTTTATGTTATGATATTTTGGATTTAGAGTAATTTAAATTTATTTGAAGTCATAACATGGGATTTGTTTCAAATTGCTCAGACTTTTTAAACTTCTCCATTTTATGTTCATGATCCGTTGAGTTTATGTTTCATTCTCAGACCTTATTATTATTGGAAGAGTTGGCGCCTTAGATGTTTCCACTACCTGCAACAGTCAAGATCAAGGTGCCATCTGGTGGCAGATTAAAGTTACTCATTATACTCAACTAGTAGAGATCTCATGAGTGCCCAGGTAGTAGAAATGTCTGAGGTAAATGATTCTTCGATTTCCTCCCCTTGATTTACATAAAAAAACTAAATAATGACAATAAAACCATTTGGCTATAAGTATAACTTAGTTTTATCAAATCAACTCTAGGATACTCTGAACATTGAAATGAATATAGAGCAGCCAGCAAAGTGTGTACTTTTTGGCAGTTTCAATAGTTTAATTTTGGTATAATCAATCTTTGGAGAGACAGTTTGGTTATTAGAAAAACCATTATTCCTGAAACATTTGACTGATCAGCCCCTTTAAACTGAAGTGATTTTGCAAACATAGCATCCATAGAAAACTGTAAAGTTTGCAAATTAATGCATTCATGTACTTATTAAAAGCTAGTGCAATCATATCTCTTATAATTTCTCCAGATTTATATTAAAGAAAATCTGAACTGTTCTGTTTTGTTTTTGTATCAGATGTGTTAGGCCAGAGACATATATATGTCTCTGGTTAGGCTGAGTTAGAATTTTTAAGAATGTCCTTAACACTCGTAATATGGATGTACATTTAGAAATTGTTGGTAAAGGGCCTTGCAGATTTATAGCTCATTAAAAAACTTCCTAGTTATCAAACATTTTTCTTGATCATTTTGTCATTTTGACATGGGGTTTGCAGTCCTTTTTTGAAAACTAACTCTTCCATTTGGTCCTAATGTTACTTTGGCCAACTGGTCTCAACTGTTAATAGCACAAGTTCTGGTATGTAGGCCTGTATTGTACATGTACTTAACATAGTTTCATAGCAGTATTTGGGTCATCTTAACATTTCAGTTTTACAAATGCTCAAATAATGTACTTTTATGACACTTCTAAAAGTTCCATTAGTCCTTTGTCCAGCTTAGTCCACAAAATGTAACCTTTTATGGTTTTAAGTAAAACACAATGAAGTTTGCCAGTTCAGTGTACACTTTTAGTGTAAGATTAAGTACCATCTCTTAAAAGACCCCTTATATGCCCCTCTTCTCTTCCACTCCTGTTCTTCAATTGAAATTGTTTACATTTTGTAACAATATCAGCCACAGAGAAAAGGGAGACAGTTTATACATACAGATGTGAACTACTCGTATAAATCATATTTTTCTAAGTTTATAATATCATCTTTCCCAAGCATTAATATTCATTCCATTGACATAATGAACAAATACCTTATAGTATGGGAGCAAAGGTCATTCCGTGTCCTTTTTAGAGGCGAGCTAAGCGACATATATTTTCATGAACTATACTTGATATTTACCAAGAAAAATGATGTTGGCAATTCTGAATCCGCGACGGCGTTGCTATGGTAACCAAGTAAATATGCCACGCCCACTTTTAGGGTCTCTTTCCAGTGTATGGTCCCTATCTCTGTCATTATTGCTCAGATGTAGATGAAATTCACACCAAATGAAAGGTAATGGATAATGCAATCAGGAAATATTAAGTTGGCATTTCTGAATCCGATATGGCGTTGCTATGGTAACAAAGTAAATATGCCACGCCCACTTTTCGGAGCTATTTTCAGTGTTTGGCCCCTAACCTTGTCATTATTGCACAGATTTAGATGAAATTTGCACCAAATTAAAGGTAATAGATAGAGCAATCAAATAATGTTTAAAACATGCAAATATGGTGATTTGCATTTCAACTATGACGTCATAACTGTTTGTTCTTGGATATTTTATTTTAATCATAATGTATAAATCTGGGAAATCTGGGAAATCATTGTCTTTAAAATGGTCAGTATAATGCTTTTAACTAGTTTAGTTTATTTGTTTAGTTGAGTTTATTAGTTTATTTCATTTATACATGAATGATCATAAAAATTGAATAAATATAATGAAAGTGTCCAATTCACACTGTTGCTTTGGTGTTAGCATGTAACAAAACTATCTGCTATAAACAAGAATTCTTTAGAAATGTTACATTTTGACCAGTTGACTGAGATGTATTCTTTTTATTTGGTGACAGAAAATAATCTAACAACCATAATTATTAAATTTGGATTGTGTTATATTATGATGTCATAATGGCAATTTTGAATCTGGGACGCAGCCAGCTTTGAGTCAGAAGGGGGCCTGCGATCGTGGCGGAGGCAACCCAAAAGTATTTATAAGATAGGTTTTGAATATTACAAAAATTGATGCAACTTCCTTCAAAATTTAGCAAAAAGCTTCAAGTTAAAAGTCTTCTTTTATCCAATGGTTCTATTTTTATTGGTTATTAGGGGGTGGGTGAACCCAGCGCAGCCCCATCCCCCCCCCAAGCACTACCTCTGTTAATCCAATATGATGTTGCTATGGTAACCATTAGGTGAATATGCTAGGTGAATCAGACAATACAAGAATAATGTAGATTGGCTGACTGACATACTAAGTACCTGTTATGGTATCATAGCTGGTTTTTGTGATTATTTTCTTGAAATAAGGTAAAATTGCTCAAAATGGTTCCAAATTGGAACCTTGTCCTTTGACTTTCACCAAAAAAATGAGGCCAAAGCTGAAAACTATAATTGATTCCATTTCTTTACAAGTACGAGGGGCGTTTGAATTGCTCTAATTTTTTATGAAACTTTCAGCATATGTGCCATATACATATATCTTGAGTTTACATCAATATAAATATAATTCCTCATAAGGAAGTGAACTTTTGTTTGCCATGGCAACAGCGAGACTTGGTTCCGTGGAGCACCTTAAAAATTCAATGAATGAAACAATGCATTCAATGAAAAAAAACTTAATACGTTTTTTGAAAATAACATATATTTGTTTAAAATGTGTTGCCATAGCAAAAAGTTAGTGGTATAATAGTGTTCTACAGGTGAATGGACTCACTGTGCTGTCAGTGTGATGTCATAATCCTCCGTCAAAACAGACTCACTCTATTCACTAAAATTTGGGTGGAGCAGGTGTTTCCAAACAGTGGAGCGAAATTGTGAATGAACTTATCAAAGAGCAGAGACCTTGCATTAAAATCTGTGTAAAACAAGGAAAAGACTGTAAGAACATGAACAGCAACATATGAAGACACCTGTTGTTCCTTTCCCATGATAAGAAGCTGGTTCAACAAGTTCAAGAAAGGCATCTCAACCAGCGAGGATGGGCCAAGAAGTGGGTGAAAAAGGACAGCGATATTAAAATAAAATATTGAGTTAGTGAAGACAATAATTGAACAGGAAAATGCCTATATGGATTGGATACGGAGGTTCCGAAAGTGCATTCTATTGGGGGAGAATACTTCGAAGGAGATATAGAGCCCTGGCTTAGGCCAACTGGCTTAATGTTGTGGCAATGATAAGATAGGTCCATGGACTGCACATTATGGCTGGATACATTGATTGTGACGTAAAAGTATCCACATTCAAACTGCTCCGCGGTATCGAGACAACTATATTTCAAACGGATGTAAAACTGTGGCTATAATATGTTGCACGCTTTAATTTTCACAGCTTAATAATAAATATTCAAACTACACATCCCAGAAGTTTTGTCTTGTTCTGATCATTCCTTGTATTTTTAGAGCAAAAAGAAAGGAACTTTTCAAATGCCCCTCGTATGAAGTATGGAAGC